GTGATCTGATTAGTTGAAGCTTTCATACACGTCCAATCGCAGGGCTGTTTACAAACGGAAAACGGAGAGACTGTTCGGGAGAGCTCGTGAAAACTCGACGATAAGGTACCTGACCGCCCCTAAAATTTTCTCAACGGATTTAGACGATTCACAAAAATGATCAATTTAAGAAATAAAACGGCGGATTTCCGCGGATCCGTGGAAAATTGCCATCTATGGAAGATGCCTGAGGAATGGAGAAGTGTGTTGGTGCCCATTTTTAAGAACAAGGGAGATGTGCAGAGCTGTAGTAACGACAGAGGAATAAAGTTATGAGTCATACAATAAAACTATGGGAAAGAGTAGTTAAAGCGAGACTAAAAGCAGAAGTGAGCATTTGTGAGCAGCAGTATGGTTTCAATCCAAAAAAAAAAAAAAAAGTACGACAGTACAAAACCATTGCTTCTGGTCCTGGTATTAAACCTGCAAAAAAAATACACCTCAAAATTAGAAAATTCATCATCATCCTTTTCATTTGAAATGAGGAAAAAATACACAGTGGTTGGGAATTATTGGTTTGCTTCACTGCTCAGAATCCGCTTAAAATGAAATGAATCTTCATGAACCCGTTTCATTTGAGAGCATGCGAGGGTTTTAGTCCGTCTCAACACCTGCCGCTGATCTCCTCGGTATCAGCCGTTCAAAATGAAAAGCAGCCAAAACCCGACGCAACGCTCGCTTCTAACCTGTACGACCAGCGGCTGTAGACGGGCTGTGACTCCATCCTGGCTTGAAGCAACACTCATCCCCGCCTCGGAGCGCTTTGAGACGCCTGCTCGTTTACGTGGGGGAGTGAACTCAAGACGCTGCGTCCCGCCTGGGGGAGTAACAGGTTGGCGGGCTGGCGACGTGGAGGAGGAGGGTATCGTTGCCATGACATCCACGCAACGCACCTCAGCCAGGAATACGGGTGGGAGGAAAAGCTCAAGGTGCGCATGTTCTCCGGGTAAGTCAATTGGACTGCCTGACTACTTTTCTGCCACCGGTGATGCCAGCAATGCATTAGAAAGTAACATCTAAAATGCGTTAACTGCCTCACATTTTTCAAAATGCAGTTTTCCCTCACGTGAGTACATGGAACAAAATTTATAATTGAAAAAATTGATTCACTCAACTATTTTTTATATGCCAAGATTCAATAAACCGATATCAAAGTTCAAAATCGATGTTCATGATATTTCAAAAAGCAAAGATGAGACTTCCAATTTCCTCCAGCAGGTGGCAGTGCTAAGCCGACTGGTTGTGGTTTAATCAGCTGGCCGAAGCGTTCAGCGGTCACATACGTCATCCGAATGAGCCACGCAGCCGGGGCAAAACAAACAACTAACTAACGCCTCTCCTTTTACGCCAGTGCAAGGAGCCCCAAGAGCCCCGTTTCTGTGTTTGTCCTCAGAGACGGTGTTGAAGTGACATGGAAGTCAACTGATGAGGAGCGAGGGGACTTGTGGCTCCCACCGGCGGGAGTATTTGCAAGGAAAAAAAAGGTGACAAGTGGCGGTAATAACACCTTGCAGGTATGTACGCGCTTCAATCATGTCAAAGCACACAACAAAAAACAGCTGATGCCATGATGCTGCTCTAAAAACAAACTATTTATTGAAGGGGACGGAAAGCACCTAGGAAATGATGCATAGGAGGCCTTGTTTTAAATATTTGTCCGTCTATTTGCTACAATAGTTGTCGTCTTTTGTGGGCGGGCTGAAGCTTCTCCCAGCTGACTTTGGACGATCGGCGAGCAAGGGTGTAGCCACAAATGTTTCAGTCGGGTGGCCAGGGTGCCCACATGTACATTAGCACGCTCGTAACCCTTGCTGCAATGTGTACATTTTCATTGATGAAAACATGACTGCAGACGGTATGATAAACAAGGACCTCTCCCCCATGCTGTTTCGTTGCTGTGGTGTGAAATTCATATTAGAGTGTGTGTGCGCGTACGTGCGTGCGTGCGCGGGTCTGGGTGTGAGAGACATTGCTTCACAGGAACGCACTTGTAAACTAAACACAGCAGGCGCGAGAGCTCAAACATGCATAAACTAGTACGCCCCCACCCCCTCTTTTGTATGACTCATTTAAGTGCAATGTCGTTCATGAAAAACACTTTTGCAACGTTATATCCAACACGGCAAATTAAGTAAAAAAATAAACACAGTTAGACACCACGCACTCGCATTTACGTTGTGGGTTTGTCGCCTTCACTTTAGTTCCCAAACGTTGGCCGCTAAGGTTTTAATCGCCACGGGACGTTTATAGCTGGTTCTTTACCGTTAGCACGTAGCATTGGCCCAAGTCGTCTCTTTCTCCTCTCAAAAGTTACGCTTGGCTCGTTTGTCGCGTGACAAAAAGTACGCCGTAGCCATGGCGACTTTCCTCTTGCTCAGGAAACATATAAAAGATGAGCATAAAGTGGCTTCTTCTTACCTGATGCTGTAGTAACTCATGTTTATCCGCGGTTGCTAAGGGAGATCTTCGTGCAGACGTTTTTTCGCCGAGGAGCCAGCCCGTCCCTAGTTACCGCACGCGCTAACAAGGCGCGCCCACATTGGCGGATGGCTCAGCTAGGCCGCGTGTGATTGGTTGCTGCTGCGGAAATGGGCGAGTGTAGTTCGTCTGCGCGAGTTTTCGTCGCGTTTGTTTTCTCAGTCACAAAGTGTACGTTTTGATGCCGCGAGACAAATAAAACGTTTACAAGTGATTTGGGTGTAAGTTCACCTCTTCAGCGTACTGCTATGCATCGTTTGAACATCAAATGGACACCGTTGGTGTTCCATAATTGCTTTTATTCAACAGTTGACATAATACACAATACAAGGGAAACTACATCAAAAGTATTTCTGAAACATCTACCATACACATGTCATGATTCATTTGACATAATTTTATGCATGCAGGGAACGCACCCAGTGCTGCCTCAGTTCCAGGGTGCAGAAAGCAGAACGCATGTACCATATGATGATGTCAAAATGGGACCCCCTCGAGAAAATACTGAACAAACTGCGAAATGTTAGATTGTGGTTTCTCCAGGTAGGGCGCTTTTTTTTCCCATATTCCAAAATAAGCCTCTTAGCTTTTTTGAAGACCCTAAATTGTCCATTTCTGTGCATATGAGTGTCCATGCTCGTCTGTCCACGTGTACCCTTGCAATTGGACAATGCCCTTCTTGGGTGGGCTCCAGCTCAGCTGTGACCTTCATAAAGATGAGTGCTCTGGAAAATAATCGGGATGGATGTCTTACACATCAACGGAAGTGGTAACATGTGTCAGTATTAGCTGGTGATGAGTTTGTTGCATTCCGCCAGCTGTTTTCTCTCCTCCAACATGCCCATCAACCACGTCCGCCTCCTCCAGGTCACTTTCAGGTTGTAGTCGCGTTCGGGCGTGTCCGGTACCAGCATGTCAGGCGGCTGACAGCGTGGCGGTGTGAATGGCTGGGCGAGGAGCCAAAGTGCAGAACAAGAAGAGGAGAAGGATGTGGAAGAGGAGGCACAAGCACCTTGTAGTTGTACTTTTGGGGTGTCCACATTAGGTGGCACACAGATGGAGGTTCCCTCTTCGATTGGCAGATTGGAGGAAGAAAAACATGGGGCGCCATCGTCCTGATTCTTCAGGATTCGCCTTTTTGGTGCATCCTGTTGACATGCCACACTTTTCAACCCACGTCCTCCAGAGTGTGTGCGGCTCATGTGAAACGTCTTCGCCTGATGATGTTGAGTGTGCCCGTTAGACTGGAACAACAGCGGGGGGAACTTGCCGATGGTCTTCTTGGACACCAGGCTGCAAGTGTCCCGTATGCTCTTGTCCAAGATGCACCTCCTGTGACGGCCGCGTCTCACCGTGGGAGCTGCGGCCTCCAGTGACGCGTCAAACTGTGGGTTTACCTTATAAAAAAAAAAAAGTATAACTACATGCCACAAAACGTATGCATGCATGCATGTTAAGTTACCCAGGAGCTGAGGTTTCTCCGTGCTTGCGCCTCAGGGAAGAACTCTTTGGGATGCAAAGCAGCCCGGACTTCAGGACTGGATGGGAGTCGAGCGCCGCACACGGGCTGCTCGGCGAACAGCAACGGAGGCTTCGCGGTCTTGGAGCTTTTGCGAGGCATCAAAAGAGAAACTATCCGAAGACCTGAAGGATATCAAGTGTCTTAATTTGAGTGAGCGTTCACTTCAAAATGACATTTGAGCATCGCCTTGATTACAGTTTGGGGGACGCCACGTTCTACACAGACGACACCTTTCTTTGTTGTATTTAACTCCGTTTACTCACCTTAAAATGGACATTCTTTTGGTTCGTTGTGGGAATTGCATAAAATGTAACGTGCATTTCGCAGTTATTTTTCCTCTCTTTTGCTCAACTTTTCGGTTCGCCGGAGTTTTGATCCATGGTACTTCCTTTTACGCTCAGTTTCAACATCCGATTGGCCAGCACATTTCCCTGAGCGGCTGGTAGTGGTTGACTCTCAAACCACGTGACCAGAACTATGTCATCGAGAGGCGCCAACATTCAAATATACGTTTGTTGACAGAAAGAACGGGGCCTTAAAGTTAAATCGCTTCAACGTTATCTTTTGTTTCGCTGCTTTGATGAGATTAATGTGATGTATCTTCATCAGTTATTTTGTCGTGCTGTATTTCGTCTGCTTTTTGGTCCGGCTGCAGTTTCGAGACAACGTCCCTTCGGTTGTCCTCCAATCTCACATCCGATTGGCCAACACATTCCCAAAGTCGCCACCATTGGGTGGCTGTCAAACCACGTGACAAGAACCACGACTGCTCCACGCGCAGCGCCCAAATTCAAAATACGTTAATTGTTGAAAACGAAGAAAGAGGCTTCGTGTCAAGAACACTAAAGCGCGTTTGTGTCATTGTTTGTCCTAATTATTTGTATTTATTTTTACAGTTCGGCGAAAAGGAATAATCTACCAAAGAAACTCCGCTGTCGCCGTAATGTGAAGGTGAGGCCGAAACCCCGTTTAACTGTTGCTTGGAGTTACATTGCATAGTTAGCCGAGCTGTCTCTTCTGATCACATTCAGCCTTCTAACAATAGACAGAACTCTGCTTTTCGCGTCCTTGGTGGAATGTATATATTTTTTCCATTGCTTCTGTAAACTAACATTCGCGGACAGTAAGTTAATACAATTGTTGGCAAATGTTTAAACGTCACTTAGGTCTTAGCTTGACACTAGCATTAGCACCAAACGTCAAGTACTTAACGGAACTGTCATACATTGTGCAGGATTGAGACACAAATGGATGCATATTTAATAAAATATGAGCTAAATGTGCTTTAGCAATGAAGACAGTTGAAATAAAGGGACTCCGATGTTAAAAAAAATATATACTATAACATTTATCCGTAGGCATTACATAACTTGACCCTTTGACAGTCTGTTAACATCAAAGACGCAGATAAAAGGAAAAGTACAAATGTGTATGTAAGCATGAAAAGCAAATCCAGACCCATAGCACACAAACAATTCACCCCGAAGGTTAACTATACGTTAAAATATGATTGTAAATGGTCTTTTTCCAGCTTATCTGTGGGAGATTTTGTGCAACTGGTTCATCATGAGACGAAGCCCAAGGAGACCCCTGATCCTCAAAAGACGCAAGCTGCCCTTTCAGCAGAGCGCCGCTCCCGTGAGTCAGGATTCGTCCCAAGCACAACCGGGGCGCTCGTCCTCCTCTGAGCGATTCTCGGACACCGTGCGCGTCCTGGATCACCCCATCTTCCCCGGCACGCAGTTGGTGGTCATTCCCAAGACGGCCGAGCTGCGCAGCGTCATCGAGGCGCTGACAGTCAAGGGCAAGGAGCACGGCGCCCAGGGGCCCAACAAATTTATCCTCCTGGGTGAGAGCGGCAGCCTGGACTCAGGCTTGCTGAACAAGACTGCCCAGGAGCTCCTCTTTCCGGGGAGCGCGGTTGCACAGCAAGTGTCTCGGACCGCAGCATTCACAGAAGTGAAACAACGTAGGAATTTAATATTTGCACCACAAATAGACACTTGGCCGTCAAAATGTGCTTTGATTCCATATAGTCTACATAATACAGCTGGGGAAAATGCATCCAAATATTCTTCTGCAACATTTTTGATGCGTAGGGTGGCGTGGCGGGTGAGTGGTTAGCACATCTTGGTTCACTCGTGTCTGCTTTTTTGTCTGTAGAATCCGTGTGAATGATTGCCCTGAACTGAGCTGCATTCTCCGTTGCATTCCAGCGAAAAAGCAAGACGACGGCTGCCCATTCGACGACAGCCTCACCAACATGCAGTGGTTGGAAAGGTGCGATGCTTTCCAGCCAGCGCCCGCCGACGACAAGTCCGATAAGGAGAACCGGACTGCGGCCGCCGTGTTGGAAGGAAGACCTCATACGCTGCATTCTGTGCCTGAAGCAGCATGCGGCTCACTCCCCGAGGTTATTTCCAGCGCTCCATTACAAGCTAACAGCTGCGTATCGGGCACCGCGCGCCGTCTGTAGAAGTTGCGTGTGAATCCGTTGAGAAATGGAAACGGACGAGTTCAATTCATTCCGTTTCCATTCATTTTGCTGTGATCATTTCAAGATAATCCCTATTTTGTCCGTTCCTTACCTTCTGCAGACCGGCACCGCCCCCGTTTCCCGCCCCCGAGACGGCGGGTCGATAAAGCCGCCCTTCTCCTACATGACCATGATCCAGTTTGCCATCAACAGCAGGCAGGACGGCCTCATGACCTTGAAGGAGATCTACGCTTGGCTCCAGCAACACTTTGACTTCTTCAGGGACGAGAACAGGCGGGGCTGGAAGGTGCCGACGACCTCTTTGCGCCGTCTCGTCATTCACACGACGTCCGCTGCAGTTTTGTTCTTTTACCCCACCCCAATACAGAACTCCGTCCGCCATAACCTCTCCCTGCATAAAATGTTCATCCGAAAGATGTCACCCGATGGGAAAGTGTCCTTCTGGACCATTCGGCCTGAGGCCAATCGAGGGCTCACACTGGATCAGGTGTACACGGTCCGACACACATTTCCACAGCATCGGTGGCTATTTGATCTTTTTTTTTTTTTTTTTTGAACAAAATCATTGATGTTCCTCTCGCAGGCCGGATGCAACCCCGTGGCAGCCCCTGTTGCCCGACCTGTTCCGGCATCGCCTCGCCAAGTAAGATTTCTTCCCCCTTCCTCCGACAAAAGCAAATTCAAAACCAGTTTTGCCATTTATGATTTGACCTTTCTGGGATTCACTTGATTTCTTTCTCCTGATACCAAACGAGCTTTGAAACAGGCCCAACCAGGATTGAATTTTAAATTCTCTCGGTATTCAAATTCACCCGTAAGGCTCTTGATGAGCACAATCACGAAACCAAACGGCCATGAAGGAAATCACAAGATTGCCCCGGTTGTCTTTGGGGGAACGTTCAGCACAGTTGGGCAAATAAATCAAATGGATAAGTCGCTCGGTCCTGTTTGAAGTCTGTTGTCAAAGCAATGGCTCTTACCTGTCTGCTGTTGATTTGGGGGAAAAAAAAACAAACATCAATAAACAATAGCAGCCAACGCTTCCTGTTGCCAAGAAAGCACCGACTGGCTCTGGTGAGTTTGATCTGCAAACACTATTAAAAAAAAAAAAGACAAAAGAGTGAGTTGATTTCCTTTTTGTTTTTCCTTTTGAGGCTCATCAAAGCAGATGAAACGGCTTCTCCCGCGGGCGCCCTCCTACCTGGTTCCCGTCCAGCTCCCCCTCAGCGCCATTGTGTGTCCGCCTTCGACCCCTGCGGTCGGCCTTCCCGCTCGGCGCGCAGCCAGCAGCCTCTGCAAAGCCAAGAGGCGCAGAAACGCTCCAAAGGTAACATGTTTCCATATCGCAACTCGCAAAATGTTTTGTTTGTAACTCACGAATGGCATTTCAATTCACGTCACGAAGGAACACGACCTTTCCAAAACGGCGACGTCAATCGCGTCAAGAAGGAGCACGAATGACGGCGTGCCGATTGCGTGTGACCACGTGAAGGATGAGGCACGGCGGGCCAAGGTGCCAAAAGTGGAGCCGGAGGAGGGGCGGGCGCGCCCAACGGCCCAGCGCAGGAGCCCCAAGATGGCCGCCCGGAGACAGCAAGCCGGCGGCTCCAGGCGGAAGCAGCGCCTGGTGCGCACGCGGCACGAAGAACCGCTGCTGGTTTACTCGCAAAACTCGGACGGCGACTCGGGCATCGCCACCTCCTCCACCTGCCTGGACGCCGAGCCGGACCTCCCGGACGGGTGGCTCCATTCCTCCAAGACCCCCATCAAAGCGGGCCGGCGCCTGGCCTCCTCCACGCCCAGCAAGCCGACGGCCGACAGCGGCGGCCAAAGCACGCTGGACTTCAGCCCCATCCGCACGCCCGGCGGGCCCGCCCGCGCGCCCCCGCACGACTACACCGCCTTCAGCGTGGACGGAACCCCCTTCAAGGACTGGGCCCTCTTCTCCGACGCCGCGGCCGGCTCGCCGCCGGGCCTGCCGAGCGCCTGCTCCGGAGAGCTGCTCGCCGAGGGCCTGGTGCTGGACACCCTGAACGACAGCCTGAGTAAGATCCTGGTGGACCTCAGCTTCGGCCTGGACGACGTTGGCGACCTGGGCTTGGCCGACGTCAGCCTGTCGGAGCTCATCCCGCAGCTCAAGTAGCGCGCTTTCAGGCGGCTTGGCGTATTCCAACTGGACCCCTTTTTTTTTTGTTTTGTTTTGCTTTACAGACGAAACGACGTCTTTGCATTGACCCTTTTCATCATTCTGATGCCTGCTCGACAGCGCTCGGAATCGCTTTTTGTTCTTCTGAAGAACTGCCACACTGACACTTTTGTTTGTTCCGACAAATATCTTTGGGTATTGATTTGCACGTTTTCTTATTTAATTTTGCGGGTCCTCCGTTCGGTTTGGAGGGGGGGTGGGGGGGTTGGAATGCGGTGCGGGCTGTTTAGCAATAAGCCGTTTCAATTGCACGGCGCCGTCAAGAGCACCGCTTGGTGTTACCAGCAGTTGGGATTGTGTTTGTGTTCAAGAGTACAGAGAAGCACAATAAAACGCGTTGGTGCCTCGAAACGCGTTTACTCTCAAGTTTATTGAAAGGTTTGGATTGTTGAACACAGAAAGAAACAATGTCGTGAGTTTGACGCGTGTCCTCGAGCAAAATGATGGAATGTGTGTGTGTGGGGGTGGGCACAAAAATTGCTTTGTACTCAGTAGGTTTTCACCTCCTGCTGGGCCACTTCCAGAAGAATCTGGAGCTGCTTGCTGCAGTAATCTGAGGAGAAGAGTCACAGACAAACATGGCCGCCCATCACATTTCCAAGTATGACGTCGACATTTTTTTTTTTTATGCTTTACCGATTGCCAACTTGTACTATTCTCTCTTTTACTACGGTAAATGACTCTTGTGTGCTTTCTCTCATGGTATCCCGGCACTCACTGACTCACTCATAGCCTGTCCATTTGAGGCAAGATGGCTGCCCGCCTGAGAAGAACGTTTGCCTTTCAATGCGAATTTAAAGGAGAAAGTGTCGTCACGTCATGTTGCTCAACGTGAGGTGTGGGGGCGCCACTCACCGAGCAGGCGCCTCCATCTGGGCGGCAGTCGGGAGCGGTGCACGGCCGCGTAGTAGACGGGGACGCCGGTCAGCGTCAAGGCACAGCTGCGTCCCGTGTTCCAGGGGTCCGAGTACAGCGACAGGCCCACGATGAAGAAGCAAACGGCGGTGAAGGTGACGGCCATGACCAGGGGCACCTATGGGCGTGACCGGTGAGTTTGCGTTGCAGACCGACCGACCGACGGCGGGGACGGAGCCCGCTCGCCATTTCCAAAGGTTGACCTTGAAAGGCCGAGGCAGCCGCGGGAAGCGGGAGCGGTGCACCAGCATCCCCAGCGTCGCCAGGGCGATGAAGAACCAGCGAGCGAAGGAGGCCAAGCTGATCAGGTGTTGGATCTCCTCGGTGATCAGCATCAGCGCCACCAACGGGTACTGGGGGGCAGTTTGAGCCGCACGTTACGGCCCGCCGCCTCGCCCGACTCTGGGAAGCGTTTGCCCCGCCCTTACCAGCAACAAGACCGCCGGCAGCGGCGTGTGTCGCCGGATGTGAATCATGGAGAAGATGCGGGGCCAGTGACCCTCTCTGGCACCCGCAAACAGCATCCTGACACACAAGCGGCCGTTCGGCATCGGTAAGACACAAGTCCTGTGACGGTTGCCATTTTAATCGATTTTTTTTGACAGACGGGCGAGCTGACCCATTTGAAAACGGAATCAAACATGGCCCTTGTGAATTGCACTATTCTGAGAAGAAGGAAGAGTCCACCTGGGCGAGGAAAAGAAGCCGCCGTTGAGGGCTCCCAGGCAGGACAGCGCCACCAGGAGGGGAATGATGGCCGACACCCCCTGCAGAGCGCGGTTGGCGAATGTCTGCGGCGGGGACGCGCGCAACCCGGGGTGAGGTCCTCAATGTCACTCTTTGCCACTGAGCCTTTCATTGAAGGGTGCGCTTTCTTACTGACCACGGCCACAGCTTCGGACGCCAGCAATTCGCCGGGCGTCATCACCGTGTAGTAGGACACGTTGACCAGCACGTAGAGCACCGTCACCGTCAGCATGGAGCCCAGGATGGCCAGCGGGATGGTCCTGAAACAACACTTGCTCGTGGTTTTCCAAACTGACGCGGGTGAGAGAAACACGCTACCTGTTTGGGTTGATGATTTCCTCCGTCACCATGTTGAGATAAAACCTAAGAGAAAGAGGTCAGCGCCGGCCGGGTGTCATTCTGAGGTCAGTTTTCTCGGTTAAATAAAGCCGAGGCTATTTTGAGGGCGATTCATGAGCTCATTTGTTTGATTCGCGTGCGCGCGCTCACCATCCTCCGTATGCGTACAGGCCGTTGTAAAAAGCCAGCGGCAGCCTGTCCAGCGTCAACGCCTCCAGCTCGAAGCCCTTGCGGAAGTTCTCCGTCTTCCCTGAGAAGAGCAACGACCCGTTTCAAAGTCTCGCCGGAAGCCGAGTCCCCTTTCCGGCCGCCCACCTTTGGCCAGCGCCATGACGCCGGGCACGATGATGAGGACCAGGGCGAAGGTCTTGACGAAGGTCAGGGTGACTTGGGTGCGGGAGGCCACGGTGACGCTCCAGCAGTTGACGGCCACCACGAACGCTGCGGCCGCAAAAGCGCCGAGTGGGGAAAAGCGCGGCAGCGACGCACGGTGGAGGCGGAGGAAAGCGGGAGGCACTTACTCACACCCAGCAGGCTGACCAGTCGGATGAGCGCCGCGGGGGCTTCGCAGGGGGCGAAAAAGGGCTCGACCACATAGCGGCCGAAGGCGAGTGACACGTAGGATGCTACGGCCGGCCTGGCAAAAAAAAAAAGTTCTTTCTCATCGTGGATAACGTTGTCGTCGCCATGCGCGGAGTCGGGGATGAGTCGAGGATTTCGGACTCATTCTCTCGTTCCTGAATCAGAGGGAAGGGATTGTTGCACACAAAGACCCACCTGATGAAGAGGAACTCCGCCCACAGGCGTAAAAAGGCAGGGAGCGGCCCCAGGGTCTCGCGCAGATAAGTGTAGTGGCCCCCCGATTTGGTGAAAGTGGTCCCCAGTTCAGCGTAGCACAGCGCTCCTATAATAATGGCACACACAAAAAAGCGGGCAGCTCGACTTGAACTCAATCATTGAGGCACTCGGAAAGGGAAGCGAGACCCATTTGGTTTGGCGTCGTGCCAATCAGGAGAGTGCACCGCTCGTAATTCACTTCAAACTGCTACAGTTTGCTGCCGTTGAGAGAGCGAGCTTTTGTGCCGGGTCTCTTGGCACACAGCGTTCCAAAAAACGACTTTCGGAGCGGTTCGCCAGACCCGGACTGGTTTGCTGCCAAAAGATGTGAAGCGAATCAGCGAGAGTTCAGCGCTTGGCTCCCGCCATGCCCATCGACCGCAGCTCTCCGGCTAAACGGGGTGTCGCCCGAATGATTGACGGGGGTGTTCTTACCGAACAAGGAAAGCACCCCGCAAAGCGTCCACACCAGCAGCGAGAGGCCCACGCTGCCGCTGTTCATCAGAACCCCTTTGGGGGCGATGAAGATGCCGCTGCCCACCACCGTGCCGACGATCAAGGACGCGGCGGGCACCAGGCCGATCTCTCGCCGCAGGTGCACCGCCTCGTCGTCGTCGTCGTCGTCCTTCTTCTGCCTCATGCCTCTGACCTGAACGCAACGCTCTGCCAGGAATAAAGCCGAGACCAGCGAACTTTCGCAATCCCTCGCCAAGTCCTCCCTGTGCCTCCGAACTTCCTCGGTCACTGATTGGCTCTTCCGCCCGAGGGGGGTGGTGGGGGTGGGGGGGACAAAGCGAGAGCTTCCCCCCAGGCCTCGGAGACAAACCGTCCGTTAAAAAGCTTTTTGTGTGTGACACCGAAGAGGAGGAGGAGGAGGTGGCGCGAGGCAGCTGCACAAACTGGGACAACAACAAGGCGTCCGGCAGGGACCCCGCTTGCACTCACCATGTGCGGCCTTGCATTCCACGCTCAACTCGTTGCTAAATCTTTCACAAAAAGTGTGAAAACGGGGCATCCGTGCTGTAAAATGGGCCTCGTAGTCGTCGGGTGTGGTTCAAAGCAACAAAAGTCGCGCAAAGTTTTGGTCCATTTTTTGTCTGCTGAGGCTGGCTGCGTTGCGTCACTTTGTTTTTCCGCCACAAGAGGGCAGCGTAAGCTCACATTTCACGTCTTCATTGTCTCTTTTGGAATTCCTTCAGCAAAGTTTTTTTTGCTTTGCTTCTTCAAATCCCCAATTGTCTTGAACTTTTCCAGGTTACGGAGGCTGCATGTCCTGCAAAGTGACGATGCACAGTGGTTTAGAATTTAAAGGGGGGGGGGCTGGGGGGGCGTGTACTGTACCCCGTTCCAGTCTGCATGGCGTCACTGTGACCAAACAACTCGGCCCGCTTCTCGTTGCTAGGATACGCCTCCTCCATCACCCTCCGTGCCGCCATTGGAAAGCAGCACGAAGATGGCCTTGGATGATTTCAAGAGCCATTCTTCATGCAAAATAAAGAAAAAAAAAACATGGCGCGTCTTTGCACATTTTTCGCAAATGGAAACATTTCTATGTGGGTTTACTCCTTGAAAAGTCACCTTTCATTGTAATTAATTCTGCAAAAAGTTTGACCGTTTCTTCTCTTAAAATCTTGACCGATCTCACCTGACCTCCAGTGCGATAATGAGTCGGAACTTCCTGCGGCATCGTCTTCTTTCGGATCAAATCAAGAATTCGTGAATCTGATGACTCATTCCAACATCGCAGACAACACAACAGGAAGGAAGGAAGGAAGGAAGGGTTGAGGGAGGGAGGAATTGTCTGCTGTGGTTTTACGGCTGGCGTATCCTCTGCTGCTCGCCACTCTGAATTATTGATGATGCTGACGACATGCGGGAAAAAGACGAAGAGGAGTTTTGGGAGCTTGACCTCAAACTTCATCTTCATCGATTTGTTTGCACTTTCAGTCTTTTCATTGTTCTCTTGATGAATACCCTTTTTTTTATTTTTTCCTCACCTCCCCCCAATGTTTTTTAATGAATTTTTCAACAATTACATTAAAAACATTCGGATCTTGGAAGGCCTGGTCTCAATCACACACACAGAAAGGTGCGCTAAATTGGTGCGCGTTCATCTCTTTGCATGTACCTGTGCCGCAGCAGCTGCAGGACGTGAGAGGCATGGGCAAAAAAAAAAAAAAAAAAAAAAATCTTCATTAAGGGCCGTCTGTGGGCTTTGGGCAGCAGCTGCCTGGTTGCCTGGCAACTGGAACCCCGCTCGGGCCAATCAGGACTGCATGCAACAGGACTTCGACCCTGCACAACATCTGGAAATCTGTCATGACCTCACACCAGAAGGTTGAAATATGACATGATTGTGGCCGTAAAGTAAATCAAATGATGCCGATTAATAATAATAATAAATAAATAAAAGCGGGTATATTTTGTCCGATTCTCCAGGCAAACAATGACACCGAATCGTGTTTCAGCACCATGGACAGTGACGTCGCAAGCACGTCAATAATTCAATGGATCGATTTGGATGCGTTTTCTTTCTTTGGTGGGAAAAAAAAACTTGAAACTTGCTGACGAAAGAAGCCGAAAAGGCATGTTGGACAAAGGGTTGTTGCCGTGGCAACAGGAAGACACACATCGGTCCGTCTCGTGTTCATGAAATTGAATGCGGGTGCGTTTTATTCTTCAAAGAAGACATTTGAAACATTTTCATGAATGCACACAAAAACAAGCTCACACGCTATATTTCAGACATACTGAAATATTTGGGGAGGGGGGGGGGTTATTTTGTATTTCCTGATTTGACTAAATGGGCGGCACGGCCCACTTCACAGTGCCGATGTTGTGGGTTCGATTCTGGGCCCCGGCCTTCCTGTGTGAACTTTGGATGCTCTCCCCGCGCCTGCGTGGCTTTTCTCCGGGTACAGAAAGCATGTCCGCATCGATGGCGTTTCTTGAAAATGAATGGGTTTTTTTTGGGGAGGGGGAGGGATGTG